CTCTCCTCCCTCCTTCCTTCCTTCCTTCCTTCCTTCCTTTCCTTTCTTTTTCTTTCTTTTTTTTTCTTCCTTCCTTTCTTTTAACAAACACTTATTTCTGATAGCTCTGGAGGCTGAGAAGTCCATGATCAACACTGGCAGATTCTAAGGGCACTAATTCCACTCATGAGGGTCCCACCTGACCTATCACTCCCCAAAGGCCCCACTCCAAATCCACCACGCTGGGTAATTCACAAGCTTTAGCAGGGGAAAGATACAAGCATTCGGTCTATAGCAAAGACTCAACCCACAAATCAAAAATAGAACAGTATTTTACTACAAGTCATATCATATTTATTTAAAAGCCAAAAACAGTATGATGAAGCAAGAAAACACACAGGTTTCAGAGAATGCTTGTTTTTTTAATCAATCTGATCACTTCTAAAGGATGAAATGTTAAGAAATATAAAAATGATATGCATTGTAAATATAAAAATATAAGAAACACGGTATTTTTAAAGAAACTATAACTGCAAAAGACATGTTAATACCACAAAAACTTTAAACAGAAATTTAAAATGTCATATACTAAAAATAATTTTTTCTTAGTAGTATGCATTTGGCATTAGAATGGAGGGATATAGGCAAGATAAAATGTAACGTTTATATAGATAAACTTTCTGAATACTATTGTCTGATTTCCTATATAAAATGTCAGACTTCATTATAAGAAACAATATATCTGTCCATTTAAGGCTACAATTGCCTTTTCAAATATAGGGTAATTATTATTTTAGAAAGCAGCAGCTTTTACCATTTTTTAAAAAAAGCTAGTAGTAGCACATAAAAATGAACATTACAAGAAACTGAGTAAAACAACATTTACCATGAAGAGATGAATGTAATTTTAAAACGAGGCACCTTTCACTTCAGTAAGAACTGAGGGTGAAGGCCTTTACCTTATACCTAATAACACTTGCTTTATTTAATAAGGAGCAGCAGAAGGATACATTCCATTCTAAGTACTGGCTGTGTTCAAAGAACACAGTTCATATCCAGATAAAAAGCGGAAGTGCAGTAGAGGCAAGCTGATTTATCAGAGTGTATCCACCAATATACTCTGTGCTTTGAACCAGTTAACACAGACAAGTTCAATTTATACTTTACCTGTGTTGATCCAAATTATCTTTACTGATAAGCTAGCAGATCCCAGATAGGTAGCTTTTTTGCTGTGTTTTATCATTCTCTTGGCATGGATACAGATTTGACTATCATTTATGTAAAAAACGCAAAGCCATACTAAGCCACATCTGTGTTCGTAGTTTTGCTTTTACACAATTTTACAGGGTAACAGAATGTCACATTTCAAAATGTAAGAATGAAACAACAACTCTTGCAATCAGAACAGCACGGTAATTATCAGGAATCTTCTTGTAAGAAAAAAAAAACCCAACAATCATCTCCTCTGTGCCCCATTAAATAGAAAACAAAGGTTCAGTAGGCAATCTCAGTGATTTGGCCAAACATATTTTATACATAGGGCATCTATGACCAAGAGAGGTTAGACACATTAAAGGCAAGCTCCTAAGGACACTGATGTCTCTAAACTGCTCAGAGATGTAGATGGGTTATGCACTGGTCACCTCTTTTCCTGACAGTCTAACCTTACTTAGACTGTCCAGCTCCTGATTGTCCGTGCCAGTAAGTGAGGGAACAGGCAAGGAAAATATAACCTTACGATATAAAAAACATGTTTTATCACATAGTAAAATAAAATTTTCCATTGAAACTTTTATGAACTTTGCATAATGAGGTTTTAGCACACATGCACAAGTAAAATTTTCCTTGTGCAATAAAACATAATACTTTCTTTTCATTTTTAACAATGAAGTGTATCGTTCTTCCAACCTGGAATCCAATTTGTCCACAGTAACTGGACATGATGATGGAGAGGGGAGGGTTAGAGACAGAAGCTGTATTTCTCTGTCTCAACAAAGACTGCTGTCGAAAGCCTGTCATTTCACTATGAGTCAGTGTGAGCGCTTTGGGATTCATTTGCCCTTAGTTCATGCTGAAGTGTTTCAAGCTCACTGTACAGATGTTTACTTGGTTACTGAGTCATAGCTTTTTCAGGGTAAACTCCAAGTCTACCAAGGAGACAGGGAGATACTCAATCAAAACACATATTTGGATTGTGTTCTTAAACTTACGCTCTCAGCCTGCCTGTCAAACAAAGCTACACCCAATAACAATACTCTGCAAAAGCCGATAAATATATTTGCAAATAATTGAGGGCTGACTGTAAACCCAATCAACTTTTCTAAATTTTTTTAATTAATCATAATTGCTGATTTGCGGTGTCCATCAATCATGATGAGGGGATGAACGTTGTGGTGGAGAGCTTTCAAAATACATGAAGTCCTGAAATTGGAAAAAGAATTATATGTATAGATAGATATAAAATTAGATAGATAGATAATTATATAAATAAAGAAAGTGAATAGGTCAATAATTAGGTGCAATGCACAACGTGTTATCCTTTATCAGGTGATCCTCTCATTCCAGTTTAGGAACACATCAGTGTAATGACATCTGCATGAAGAGAACCTAAGATGAAGAGCAGTGATTGCAAATTGTGGGAAGGCAGTAAGCTTTCCATTTGGGGAACCAGTTAAGTAAATTTTCACTGTTGGGAGGTAGAAAAGCTTGATAATCAATATTAAACATGTTAAAATACCAATTGCAATACGTTAATCAGGTTTTTAAGGTAAATGCTATCAATTTTATTTCTATGCTTTTCTCATGAATCTTAACCATGAATCACGAGCACAGCAAGGGGATTGTATCCAGTCAGTTAGGAGGGTCCAACACCGAGGAGGACACTGACGAGAGGCAATAGGTGAAGGGAAAGAACATCAGCTTTAGAGTTATTTTATTTCACTAAGAAATCATAGGACAGGCGTCTTTAACTGGTGAGCATGGTAAGTAACACGCAATAATGACAATTACACCCAATGGATGCCTACCATCTTTCAAGCACTCTCCTGGCCCCTTTACTCATATGATAGCCTACTATTCATAACCCTGAGAAAAAAATATATAAGTATTTTTATTTTCATTTTACAGATGAGGAGACTGAGGCTTGCAAATGCTACACACTGCAACACATGTAACTAGTAAGTGACAGATAGTTTCCAACCTTACTGCCTTTCTATTACATGACACTGCTTCTCATCGGGGAGAATAATTCTCTCAAGATAACTCAAAAGCAAAAGACTTACAATAAGGAAGCAAGCTCCAAAAATCATGGCTTTCATCTTCACATCCAGGTCTAATGGGAAGTGAATTTCAAAGTGGTCAGCATCACTCATGGTTGATAACATACCATTCCACTTCCTAGTAATACTGCCGATACTGGATACGCCGTCAAGGGATTTGACCTGGAAGGACCAGACCAGAGTGTGACTTTATGATGGTTGAAGGGTATTAAAATTCATGCTTTGTTCTTCTGTTTACAAGCAGTTTACACTGAGGTCGCATAAATAAGAGTGCAGGGAATGAATATAGTAATCGTGCAATTCCAGACAAGAAATGATGGCCAAGTAGGGTTAAGCGCCTTGCAACTGATTAATAACTGAGTTGGGGTGTATCTCACAATTCTCAGGCCAGGGTTCTTTCTTCACCCTCAAATGAGTTACTAGGAAAGCCTGTCAGAGGACGTATGATTAGAATTTACTTTGAAATTCTTTTCCATATCACAAAATGAGAGAACTGGGATCTGGGAGGGAGTGTTTTTTCAGTCTAGGGAAACATGTGAACAAAAGTACAGGGACAAGGTTCTTTGCACTTCAAAACTCCACACAACCACTCAGGCTTCTGTGGGCCAAACGAACCCTGTCTTCTTAAAGTGTGTCAGGATCCCAAAGGGCTTCAGCTTCTAAAAGAGGGACCTTGACACCTGCTACAAGGAAAATAATAATCTCTACACACCCTGCCCTCGAAGTCTGGCTTATCTACATTTTCTATGTATCTACAATGGTCTTTTAATAAATCAGTCATACTTGGTGATATGGTTACATAAAACAAGAACTAAAGAAAGTTTATTGGGTGTCACAGAAAATATCTGAATGAGCAATTGAGTCTTGTTGAATTTCAAGTCATTTAGAAAGAATGCTTTAAGAAGCCCAGGGATCCCCTGTCAGAATTGTTAAAGTAATAAGGAATCATCTTGTAGCCATTGGGATAAAGGTAAAACAAAAGGATTTTCCTTTTTCCAGAAAATGTTATAGCCTGCTATGAGTTTTATCCATGTTATCAGTGTTGTCCTGTTTCTTGAGGATGCAGACAGGCTTCCATCTAGCAAATAAGCAATTTGTGCAACCTCAGGGTGCTCCATTTGTTTCCTGATATGTTGGGGACTTCTGTTACTCAGGACCTATATTCTGATCCTGGACATCTTTGGTAAAAGTGGTGAACGAAATATAGCCAAGAATAAAGTAAATGGATTAGGTCAGGCTATTTACTCTCAGGTTTTGTGTTTGAAATGGTTTCCTCTTATCTTTATCAAACACTGAAATCATAAAAAAAGGAGCTCACGTTTTGGAAAACCTTCAGCAATCACCTAAGATTAATCTGAAAATCTTTTTATTGTCAGCTGGTTAGTTAACTCTTTCCACACACTGCTTTATTCATTCACCAACAAAAATCATCTAAAATCAGATCATCCTGAGGTCTATTAGGACATGTAAAAAAAAAAACAGTGGAGACATCACTTTAACATTAGGTTACCTCAAAAACAGAATCAGAACCACAGCCATAGGTTGAGCACGGTCCACGCACTCCCATCGTATCTTCTTTCTTCTC